AAAAGTCTCTGTCTGTCAGCCCCGCTGCCAAAGAAGCCATAATTCACCTGTGCTGGTTCCAAGGTTGTTTATTCTGTTTATCTCTAACATGTTCTGCTGCCCTGCCGCAGCTCTGTCCTGCAGGGCAGCGTGTGGGGCTCTGCCCTCAGTGGGATGGTACAAACATTAAATACCAGAAACTACCTGTGCTGGATTTACAATAACGTGCCAATATCTGTCACCTACGTTGGACAGTGTGTCCCCAGCCTGAACCAACAGAAAAATGCCAACAGCACAGTGAAACATGGAGGGCATGAAGAAGGAGAAAAGGGACAAGACACACCCAATTTCCTCCATCTTGTCCCCTTTGAACCCCTCATCTAGAATCCTAAAATTTTACTTTTGCACCTGTGCCACACTTAATTATTACTTCTATCAAACACTCAGAGCTTGTAATTCATCCTGTAAGATTGCAAACTCTTTTCCATGGACAGAGATCACAGACAGTGTCTGTGGGGGCTCTGTCCAGGGGGGTTCCTGACCCCTGCCAGGGTCCCAGACCTGCCAGGGCAGCCAGAGGGAAGCCCTGGATTCCCACAGGTGACAGCCATCCCTGCTGTGCTGGTGACCAGATGGCCAAAGCCTGCTGCCTTCAGCTGCCCCCAAGCTCCCAGGGTGGAGCTGTGGAAAATGGGATGGATTTATTCTCCTTATCCTCTGCCATTCTGGTCTAAGCACCTTTTTTTTTTTTTTTTTTTCCTAGAGAGAACAAGCCAAATATGTTGTGTTTAACTTTTCAGGAATCTTTAAAAGTTTTATTCCCAAGTTCAAACCCACCGGAGGGAGGGAATTGCCTCCTTTAACCCCTCTTCTTTCTCATCCCCGCCCTGAAATGGAGTGGAATAAGCTCTGCCCTCTGGATTTATATCCCTAGGAAGGGAGCAACCAAAGGGAAGGGTCAGAAAGCTGAATCTGCACAAATCTCTGAGCCCTGGAGTGTGCAAGGGCCAGGCTGGGAAACTCCTGCTGCCTCCTTTTCCTCCCACTCTGCCTGATTCTGGCTGCTCCGTGGGTTTGATCCCCGTTTTGAACAGTTTTAGGAGCAGCTGGATGCTCCTAATTAGCCAAAAATCTGTGGGTTTGATCTGTGCTGAGGGAGAAAGGAGATTGGGATGGATCCTGCCGTGAGCAAAGCCAGCCTGGAGAGGGCTGGGAATTCATCCTGTGCCACAAACAGTTGACACAGCACAAGTGGCAATAATCCCCCATTAAATACCTCTCAATTGCTGGGGCTGCCTGGCTAATTGACTTTCCAGCAGGAATTAGTGGCTCAAACCAAATCAGCAGCAGCAGGGAGCTCCTGCCGGGCTTGGGATGGCCATGGAGCCGTGCACGAGCTGCTCATCCTCCTCATCCAGTGAGTGCCCCACAGCCACATGGCTCTGGGACTTTGGAGGGCTGGAGCACCTCCAGAGTCACCAGGGGGTGCTTTGAGGGTTTTTGCACCTTTTCTCTCCATGTTTGGGAGGGTGGATTTGTCTCTTCCCTTTTCCAGCATGTGCTGCATCAGGACTTTATGGAGTTGTTGTTCCCAGGATGCCTGGATTTATTTCAGGGTTACCTTGGCCTTCCATCCAGCTGGAGCTGCTGGAGCACCTCCAGAATTCCCAGGGGATGCTGGAACCTTTTCTGTGTGTGATTGGCAGGGTGGATTTGTCTCTTCCCTTTTCCAGCATGTGCTGGACCAGGGCTTTATGGAGTTGGTGTTCCCAGGATGCCTGGATTTATTTCAGGGTTACCCTGGCCTTCCATCCAGCTGGAGCTGCTGGGGCACCTCCAGAATTCCCATGAGGGGTTTTTGGGATTCTGGGATCTTCTCTCTCCATGTGTGAATTTGGCTCTTCCCTTTTCCAGCCCACACTGGACTGGGACTTTGTGGAATTGGTGTTCTCAGGATGCCTGGATTTATTTCAGGGTTATCCTGGCCTTCCATCCAGCTGGAGCTGTTGGAGTACCTCCAGAATTCCTATGAGGGGTTTTTGGGATGCTGGGACCTTCTCTCTCCATGTGTGAATTTGGCTCTTCCCTTTTCCAGCCACCTTGGACTGGGACTTTGTGGAATTGGTATTTTCAGGATGCCTGGATTTATTTCAGGGCTAGCCTGGCCTTCCATCCAGCTGGAGCTGCTGCTTTCCAGCCTTTGGAGACCATTCCAGCATGGTGATTCCCAAGTGGAATAGAGCCTAACCAGATTAATCCTTTTAATGAGCCTTAATCCAGCAAAGCTGAGCTTTCCATTTCTCTGGGGGTAAAATCCACATCCTGCTGCAGTCAGGGCAGCTGGGCTGGCAAGCAGCTTTCCAGGGGATGATTCTCCTCCTCCTGCTCCTGCTTTTCAGGGAAGCACAGCGGGGATGGCAGGGCTGTCCCAGCTGTGTCACCTGGAGCTCAGGAAGGAAGGGTGACACCTTTCACCAGGGGCTCTGGGATGTGCCCAAAATGAGGAGTGAAATCAGCTCTGAAGGTGCTGGATCTCATCCCAGCAGAGCCCCAGAGGAGTTGGCATCCTGCTCTTCAGCAGGGGAGGGAACGTGGCTGGGAGGGGAAATTGCTCTTCCCATTTTGTGAGAGATCCCAGGATGTGAAACCCCCACCCTGAGGTTCCCCTAATGGGGAAACCCCTCAACAGTTTTGTGTTAAAATTAAGAAACAAACAGAACTTTTGTTCTTTAGTTTTAGTTTAAAAACTTTCGTTTTTTCAGTCTTCCGGTTGTTGGTTTATTTTTCTCTCTTACCAAGAATTCAATGCACCATCTATATACCAAAAAAAAGCACCAAAAAACCACAAAACACACAAGTTGAAAGTCTTTTAAAGCTATTTTGTTTAATTAACTTTTAAACCTTAAGTAATTAATTATTTTTCTGTCCATAAACCATCTGGATTGTGGCTCTTTCTAACCAATCCCTCAACACTGCAGGAAATGGAGCAGATGAAGAACAAGGAGATCAAACAACACCCAAATTCTTCCATCTTGTCCCCTATCCACCTCCATACTAAAACCCCAAAACTCAAGTTTTTCACCCTGTGATAAACTATATTACTCTCTATTTCACACATCGTGGATCCCAGTTTTCCCAAAGTTCTAGAAGCTTCCTCCATGAAGGAAGATTAAAAGCAGTGTTCTCCCAGGGGCCAGAACTTCCCAGAACAGACAGAAATATTCCCCACCCTGAGATCCGACAGCAGGAAACGCAGACAGAACCACAAATCCCCTCCCTGCCTTTCTCACCACCTTGGGCTAAACCAGCAGCTGCTTTTCGGTGTATTTGTGCCTCAAAATCCTAAAAATTCTGGAGCCTTTCCTTGGGAATTGTTTTGAAAAGACAGGAGTCTGTGAAGGAAGGCAAGAGCCTCCTGTGAAATGGAAAAGGTAAACACCCTCCCTCCGAATTATCACAATTTCAGAATTAAAAGCTTCTCAGGCAAAGATATGGCAATGGGAATAACAGTTCTTTACTAGGAGAAAAACTAAATTTAAAAAAATGTAATTAGTAGAAACAAAACTAGTGATAGAGTCAGAAACTTGACACCCTGAGGAGCCAGGGTGTTGGGAATAGTCCAGTTAAATGGTGGCTGCTCCTCCTGGAGTGGCAGATGAAATGCTGCTGAAGGGTGAAATCTGTAGAAGGGTGGAGTTTTCTCTGAAGGTCTGGTGATGGAGTAGATGGGCTTGGTTTTCCTCTGGGAATCCATTGGAGAAGAAGCTGCTCCTCTGGGAATCTAGTGGAGAAGTTCCTCCTCTGGGAATCCAGTGGAGAAGAAGTTCCTCCTCTGGTAATCCAGTGGAGAAGAAGTTCCTCCTCTGGGAATCCAGCAGGGAAGAAGCTGCTCCTCTGGGAATCCATTGGAGAAGAAGTTCCTCCTCTGGTAATCCAGTGGAGAAGAAGTTCCTCCTCTGGGAATCCATTGGAGAAGAAGTTCCTCCTCTGGGAATCCAGCAGGGAAGAAGCTGCTCCTCTGGGAATCCAGTGGAGAAGAAGCTGCTCCTCTGAGAATCCAGCAAAGAGGCTGTTCTGATGTCCCAAAAAGTGTTGATTTTTTGCAGGTAGGGCTGCTTGGCTCCTCCCTCTGGGCGGAGCATCTCACCATGGGATGATGGAAGTGGGCCCCTCAGCTCAGGAAGGACGTTGAGATGCTTGAGCATGTCCAGAGGAGGGCATCGAGGCTGGTGAGGGGCTTGGAACACAAGCCCTGCAAGGAACGTTTGAGGGAGCTGGGGTTGTTCAGCCTGGAGAAGAGGAGGTTCAGAGATGACCTCATTGCTCTCCAGAACTCCTGAAGGGAGGTTTAGGCAGGTGGGGTCGGTCACTTCCACCAGGCAGCACTGGCAGAACAAGAGGACACAGCCTCAGCTACGTCAGGGAAGGTTTAGGTTGGATATTAGGAAAAATTTTTTCACTGAAAGAATAATAAAACACTGGAATTGTCTTCCTAGGGAGGTGATGGAATCACCATCTCTGGATGTGTTTGAAAAAAGACTGGACATGGTGCTATAGCCTAGTTGTGGTGTTAGGGCATGGGTTGGACTTGATGATCTTGGAGGGATCTTCCAACCTCGTTATTCTGTGATTCTGTGTGATTCTGTGAACTTTACCAGTCATGCAGGGAGTCATTTAATAGCCCATTAACAGAAGATATCTCCCTGGAGGGAGACATTTATTGGAAGAGATAAGAAAACTGCCCCACCTCCAATGGATGGCAAACAGACTTGATGATTTTAGAGGTCTCTTCCAACCTCATTATTCTGTGATTCTGTGTGATTCTGTGATTCTGTGATTCTGTGAACTTTACCAGTCGTGCAGTGACTGATTCAGTAGCCCATTAACAGAAGATATCTCCCAGGAGGGAGATATTGTTGGAAGAGATAAAAAAACTGCCCCACCTCCAACAGGTGGCACACAGAATCCGTGCTGATCTTACAAGCCAGGACAGGAATCCTTTGCTGTTTTTGCCTCCCCAGAACGGCGGCGGGAGCTGGAGCGACGAAGGCGACGGCTGCCGGGGAAGGGAAATCTCCCGAGACTTTGCCAAGGTCTGTCCGGGCACTTGGGGAAATTTGGGGAACTTGGGCAATTTGGGAAATCCTCCCCTGACCCATGGCAGAGCCCTCCCTGCAGGGGATTTGTAGGAAAATTGCTTTGTCCTGCAGTTTGGGGCTGGTGTGTTACCTTGTATCAGGTTACAATATTTAATTTTTACTGAAATAATGATTAAAAACCAGATTTTGGATATTTAAAGGCTTTAATCCAGTTTTTCTCCAGCTGGGAGAAGAATATTCTCCCTTTGGAATGCTGTGTTTGTGGATTTGAATGTGTCACAGCAGCTGGAGTTTAAACTAAGGCAGCTCTGCTCTTCCAGAGCTTCCCAGGAATCCAGCCCCAAAAATCTTTTGGGATGCACTGCCTGGGGAACTTCAGTTTAATGATCTGGGCATTTCAAACCCAAATTATAAATTATAAATATTAATACATATTTCTAGTCTATAAAATATTTATATTTTATAAGTATTTCTATAAATAGAACATAAATTATCTATTTTATAAATACATTTTAGAAATATTTATTATAAATAATATAAACACAAAATGCTTATAAATAAATAAAAATTATAAATAGTAAATTATTCCTGTAACAGATATATTCTGGGCTGATTGCTGGCATTTCTGAAGGCTTTTGGTTTATTTGGAAGCAGGATCCATTTTGGGGAATCCTTTCCATTTCTGGGAATCCTTTTCGTTTATGGGCTTCTTTTCCAGCTCTGGGGATCTGTTCCATTTCAGGGGATCCATTTGATTTCTGGGGATTCATTCCGTTTCTGGGGATCTTTTCCAGCTTTGTGAATCCATTTCCTTTCTGGGGCTCTGTTCCATTTCTGGGAATCCATTCAATTTCTGGAATCCTTTCCATTTCTGGGGTTCTTTTCCAGCTCTGTGAATCCATTTCCTTTCTGGGGCTCCACTAAATCCCTGGGGATCCAGTCCCTTTCGGGGGATCCTTCCATCTCTGGGAACCATTCCTAGGAACCCATTCCATCCCTGGGGCTCCGTTCCATCCCTGGGGATCCCTTTCTGGGGATCCTTTCCCTTTCTGGGGATCATTTCCATCCCTTTCTGGGGATCCATTCCACCCCTGAGGATCCATCCCTGGGGCTCCACTCCATCCCTGGGGTTGTTTTCCATTCCTGGGGATCCTTTCTATCCCTGGGGATCCTTTCAATTTCTGGGGATCTGTTCAATTTCTGAGGATCCATTCCATCCCTGGGGCTCCATTCCATCTCTGGGGATCTGTTCCATTCCTGGGGATCTGTTCCATTTCTGGGGTTCTTTTCCAGCTCTGTGAATCCATTTCCTTTCTGGGACTCCACACGTCCCTGGGGATCCATTCCCTTTCTGGGGATCATTTTCATTTCTGGGGATCATTTCCATCCCTGGGGCTGCACTCCAGCCGTGGCCCCGAGCCCCCAGGCCCCTCTGCATGTCTCCCCTCCCTGCCTGTGCTTTCCTCCCCCTGGCAGAAGGCAGAATTCCGGAATGTTCTGTCTCATTTTGGTTCCTTCCCCCCCCAGCTCTACGAACTGGACAGCGACCCCGAGCGCAAGGAGTTCCTGGATGACCTCTTCATCTTCATGCAGAAGAGGGGTGAGTGACCTTTCCTTGGATTCCAGGAGGGAGCCAGGCCAGCAGAAGGGATCCTTCCCTTAAATTAAATTAATTTAAATTCAATTACATTTATTTATTTATTTATTGAATTAATTCAAATTAAATTAATTTAAATTTGCCTTCAATTTCTTCACTTTCTGATGTAGTGCTGCTGTCTCCATGCCCTGAAGATCCCAGGCACCTTTTCCTGGGAATTCCCCAGGGTGCCAGTGATCCCAATCCAGTTCTCAGAGCAGACTGGTGATAATTAAAATGTCTTTAATTTTACCCACCACTCTTTGGGGTGGTGGGTAACAGAAGCACCTCTGAACATTTGGGGCACCCTCTTGTCCCTCCAAGGATGTCAGTGGCCAGGGATTGCTCTGGTGGCCCCTGAGGTGTCAGTGGCACAGAGCAAAGTGTTTCCAACATCCCAATCCAGGCTGAAGAGCTGCCTTTTTCCTAAAAAACCCCAAATCCAGCTCCTCTCCTCATGGGAAAGTGTTTCCAACATCCCAATCCCAGGCAGAAAAGCTGCCTTTTTCCTAAAAAAACCCCAAATCCAGCTCCTCTCCTGAGGGGAAAGTGTTCCTAACATCCCAATCCAGGCTGAAGAGCTGCGTGGTTCCCAAAAAAACCCCAAATCCAGCTCCTCTCCTGAGGGCAAAGTGTTTTTAAAATCCCAATCCCAGGCTGAAGAGCTGCCTTTTTCCTAAAAAAACCCAAATCCAGCTGCTTTCCCAAGAGCAAAGTGTTTCCAACATCCAAATCCCAGATTCAAGAGCTGCCTGCTTCCCAAAAACACCAAGTCCAGCTCCTCTCCTGAGGGGAAAGTGTTTTTAAAATACCAATCCACGCAGAAGAACTGCCTCTTTCCTAAAAAACCCCAAATCCAGCTCCTTTCCTGAGGGGAAAGAGTGTTTTAAAATCCCAATCCAGGCCGAAGAGCTGCCTGGTTCCCAAAAAACCCCAAATCCAGCTCCTCTCCTGAGGGCAAAGTGTTTCCAACATCCCAATCCAGGCTGAAGAGCTGCCTTTTTCCTAAAAAACCCCAAATCCAGCTCCTCTCCTCATGGGAAAGTGTTTCCAACATCCCAATCCCAGGCAGAAAAGCTGTTTTTTTCCTAAAAAAACCCAAATCCAGCTTATCTCCTGAGGGGAAAGTGTTCCTAACATCCCAATCCAGGCTGAAGAGCTGTGTGGTTCCCAAAAAAAACCCCAAATCCAGCTCCTCTCCTGAGGGGAAAGTGTTTTTAAAATCCCAATCCCAGGCTGAAGAGCTGCCTTTTTCCTGAAAAATCACAAATCCAGCTCCTTTCCTGAGGGCAAAGTGTTTCCAACATCCAAATCCCAGATTCAAGAGCTGCCTGCTTCCCAAAAACACCAAGTCCAGCTCCTTTCCTGAGGGGAAAGAGTGTTTTAAAATCCCAATCTGGGCCGAAGAGCTGCCTGGTTCCCAAAAAACCCCAAATCCAGCTCCTCTCCTGAGGGGAAAGTGTTTTTAAAGTCCCAATCCCAGACTGAAGAGCTGCCTTTTTCCTAAAAACCCCAAATCCAGCTCCTTTCCTGAGGGGAAAGTGTTTTTAAAATCCCAATCCCAGGCTGAAGAGCTGCCTTTTTTCCTAAAAAACCCCAAATCCAGCTCCTCTCCTGAGGGCAAAGTGTGCAGAGCTGCTCACTTTGCACCTGGTGTCTGTGGGGCCGGGAAGCAGCTCTGCCAATAAAAACCCCACAGTAAAAACATAAAAAACAGGGATTTGCTGCTGTCCAGGAGGAGCTGAGGGATCAACAACTGCAAAAGTGAATGGAATTTCCCAGGAGCTGCAGGGATGAAAATTTGAGATGTTTTGGGATGCCCCTGGGAAGGGGAACAGCTCTAACACAGATCAGATGTGTAGGGCTGTGCCCAAAAACCATAAAAGGGCCCTGGAGCAGCAGAAACAGTGGCAGGGGACATCAGGGACAGGGTGGCACTGCCTTTGTGGGGTTGGGGAACACCAGGGCAGGGTGGCACTGCCTTTGTGGGGTTTTGTTCCTGGCAGGGTGGCACAGCAGGGCTGGGGGTGATGCCTTGGGAAGGCTGAGCTAGAACAGAGACCAGACTGAGCTCAGGAATAAACAGGGATTTATGAAAAGGATCTCCTCAGTGGATTCACCTTGGGCAGCACCAGAGCCCAGCCAGGGCTGCAGCCAAGGTGAACCAAAATGGTCCCAAAAATGGGAAACTGGTCATGAGGTGTCTCACTTTTATGAGTTCTGCTCCATTTGCATATTGGGGTTAATTGTGCAATTACAGCTTTAGGTTATGAATCCCATCCTGCTTGTTTTTCTCTCTTCAGTCAAAGATTGCAGCTCTGCATGGGATCAGGGATTGCAGCTCTCTAAGGGATCTCCATTCCAGGGATTGCAGCTCTCCATAGGTCCCTGTTCCTTTTCATCCCAGCTCTGGAGAACCAAACCCCATAAATGTCAGGCTGAACCCCTGAACCAGCCAGGATTTATCCTTGGAGAGGGATTTGAACAAACCAGGAGCTGAGACAGTGCAGGGGTGGAGTCGATTTGCTGCTGTAAAATGAATTTTCCCTCTGTTCAGCTGGGAATTCCCACACTCCACAGAATTACTGTGCCTCCCTTCAAAGAAATTCTGCTTTTCTTGAGATTCGGCTCAGAATTATTTTAAATCACTGTGGACTTCCCCAATTTCCTGGGGGAAACCTGTTCCTTCTGGCTGCCTGATGCAGCATCACCCCTGAACATATTTGCAGTGGGAAGAGCAGCTTTTTATTTACCTGCTTGTGGCTTAAAAATGTCTCTTCCGTGCCTATTCTTCACTCCAGTGGGAGTGAAATATCCTATTTCACCGGGATTTCAACGTCTTTGTGCTGAACAAACCCTGGGGATTCTCACCTCCTTTGTTCCTTGCTGTAAAATGGACACTTGTGGAGGAAATTGGATAGGGAGGGTGGGAGGTGGTTGGGAAAGCAGAGCTGGGTGTGATTAAACACTCTTTGTGCAGGACAAGTCGTGGCTTAGGCTGCTGGAAATCCCTGTGTGGAAGGGAATCTCTGGCATGGAGGCCAAGCAAAGCCCTAAAATTCCCTGGAATTCTCCTCAAACCCAGCTTTGGGGCAGTTTTCTTCAGGCTGCATCTCCAGGTTGAGGTGTGGCTGCCAGGTGTGGCCGAGGGAGGGTGGAGGAGAGGAGAACAAAGCCCTGGGGTGGTGTGGGATGGCAGGGAGGGGATGGTCCCAGTTCATCCCTCTGCCATGGCTGTGCCAGACCCTCTTCCCCAGGTGATTCCTGGGTGTAATCCCAGCCATTCCAGGCTTTCCTGGGGCTCCAGCATGGGACAGAGGGGACACTGAGGAACAGGGGACTCCATGGAACAGGGAGACTGTATTGCCTTACTAATGACACTTAGTTAATCAACAATTGTTCTTTTTTTATAGTTTTGTTCAAGGCAGCTCCTTTTCCTTCAAGAATTCCTAATTCCCCAGTTGCTGTTTAATCCCTCTGATGGTTTCTTCTTTTTTTTAAAGAAGCTTTGGAGCAAATGCCCATTACGTGTAGGTGACCTGGGCACGAGTGGGTGCACCCACACTTGGTACCACGTTCTTCTCTTAGAAAGCTGCTGTTACCCACTCCATTTACCATTTACATTTACATCTACCCCCTGTGCTGCCCTGGTTGTTACTGCCCTCAGTGAATCATTTTGACAGCATTTTCAATATTTCTGCAGCCCACAGGACCGTGGCTGCAGCAGTGAGATGTGAGGCTGCATCTCGCCCCTGAGGGCTGCACAATTCTGCCTTCAAGGGGAACATGTATTAAGCTGTAGTGTTGGAGGGTGCTAACATCAATAAGGCATAATTAAAAAACTATCATCAGTCATCAGGTGTGATTTTTAGGGTAACACAAAACTATTTTGCTAAGGACATCCTGTGAATTTCTGATAGTTGTAGGGGCCAAATCAGCTATATCTACTGCAGTTTGAGAGATTAGGAAGGGGAAAAGGCTTTTCAAGGGAAATATAGGTTGGATATTAGGAAAAAGTTATTTACAGAAAGGGTGACAAAGTTCTGGAATGGAGTCCCCATCCCTGCATCCCTGATAAAGTTCTGGAATGGCTGCCCGGGGAGGTGGTGGATTCCCATCCCTGGGTGTGTTTAACAAAGCCTGGATGCAGCTCTGGTTGTCAGGGTTCAGCTGAGGTGCTGGGGCTGGGTTGGACTCGATGATCTCCAAGGTCTCCTCCATCCTGGTCACTCTGTGAATTCAGTGGGAGACATTCCCTCAAAGGGCAGAGATGTTCATGGCTCCAGTGGGCCTTCCTCTGGGAAACCCTTTATTCCAGAAGCCTGGATTGTGGCTGCCTTTCTCCTCAGAAAACAGGGTACCCTTGGGATGGCTCTGCAGCTTCCCTTTGCCAGTGGGAACACACTCCTCGTGCCCCTCGTTTGACTGGGCTGAGCCAAGTTAGGGGGCTGGGATGAGCCAAATTACAAAGGTGGGATGAGCCAATTGATGGGGCAGGGATTGAGTCAAATTATGGGGCTGGGATTGAGTCAAATTATGGGGCTGGGATTGAGCCAAATTATGGGGCTGGGATTGAGTCAAATATGGGGCTGGGGTGAGCGAAGTGATGGGGCTGGGGTGAGCCAAGTGATGGAGCTGGGATTGAGCCAAGTGATGGGGCTGGGATTGAGTCAAATTATGGGGCTGGGATGAGCCAAGTGATGGGGCAGGGATTGAGCCAAATTATGGGGCTGGGATGGAGCCAAGTGATGGGGCTGGGATTGAGCCAAATTATGGGGTTGGGATGAACCAAATTATGGGCTGGGGTGAGCCAAATTATGTGGCTGGGAAGCTGAATTATGGGGCTGGGATGAGCCAAGTGATGGGGCAGGGATGAGCCAAATTATGGGGCTGGGATTGAGCCAAATTATGGGGTTGGGATTGAGCCAAGTGATGGAGCTGGGATTGAGCCAAGTGATGGGGCAGGGATTGAGTCAAATTATGGGGCTGGGATTGAGCCAAATTATGGAGCTGGGATGAGCCAAATTCTGGGGCTGGGATGAGCCCAGTGATGGAGCTGGGATGAGCCCAGTGATGGAGCTGGGGCTCTGCTGAGAGGCAGGAGAAGTTATTTTCCGAGGAAACAGAGAGGAGGATGTTCCTGTGCCTCAGGAGCCGGGCAGGGCTGGGGGCAGCAGCCTTGCAAGTACAGTAAAATGAGTTTACCATCAAAAGGCAACAAGTCTTGTGCCGTGGCCCCGGCTGCTGACCTTTCCCTCTGGAATTCTGCCCCCTGCCCCCGGGCTCGTTAATCCTGGCGCTGCCAGATGACAGTAATCCATCACAGCCCTGACAGCCCTGCCCGCCACAGGATCTGCCCTTTCAGCCTTTTCCCCGGCGGTTCCCAATAAAAACCTTCCTTTATCGCCTTCCCCGGGCAGGGCTGGGGGAGGAGAGGCACCAAATCCCTCCGGAAAACCCCGGGAATTCACCAGGGCCAAAGCCCGACTCGGGATCTGCGGGGCAGTGCTGGAGGAACACGTGGAAAATGGAATTATTGCAGCTCCTGGGAGCAGTTCTGGCCCTGCTCTAAGGTTTCTCAGCTGCACAAAGGAATTGTATTTAGGGGTGGAAAACCAAACTCGAGGTTTTATCTCAGTGGATTAATTTGTATTCTGTGTGTAAACACATGTAGCTGAGTTTATTATAAATGCATTATTACATGCATTTATTATAAATGCATGTTTCTGTATAAAGCCCTGTTTGGCTGAGTTTATAAATGTGTGTTTCTGTCTAAATCTCGATTTAGCTGGGTTTATAAATGGAATTTCAGGGCACTTTGGTGCTGTTTAAAGCAAAGCTGAAGGAGGGGAGCTGTCCTGGGGGTGCTGAGGTGATGGAATTATTGCAGCTCCTGGGAGCAGTTCTGTCCCTGCTCTAAAGTTTCTCATCTGCACAAAGGAATTTTATCATTTAACCAAACTCAAGGTTTTATCTCAGTGGATAAATTTATATTCAGTGTGTAAACACATTTAGCTGAGTTTATAAATGCGTGTTTCTGTATAAATCCCTGTTTAGCTGGGTTTATAAATGAAATTTCGAGGCACTTTGGTGCTGTTTGAAGCACAGCTGAGGAAGGGAAGGTGTCCTGGGGGTGCTGAGGTGATTCAGGGAGGTCAGACCCCGTGGCTGTTCCTGCTCCAGCTGGGAGCAGCTCCCTGGAAATGCTTCAGCCTTCATTCCCCAGGGATGCAGGTGACGTTTGTGCCTCTCACAGGAGCAGCTGGATTCATAATTCTGCATTTTCCCAGCTGCTGAGCTGGGGAAGTCTGGAGAAGGGTAGAAGAGTGTTTGGGGGAAAGGCAGGGTATTAAAAAGCAGATATTTGTTAATATTTTCTGAGTTGCTGAGAGCTTTATCCATGGCTCTTCCCTTTCACTGCCCATCTGGATGAAAGTCCCTGCTGGACAAGTTCATGCCATTCCCTAAATTGGATTGGGGAAACTGGGGTGGCTTTGGCTTCATCCTCCCCCAGCCCAGCAAAGGCTTTGCTGCTGTGGCTAATTAATGAAAGGAGAGGAATTTTCGGGTGTCCTGGGGGCTTTGGAAGGAAATATTTCCCTGTTTTCCCTGCGGGTGTGACTCAGGTGATGAGTGACAGCTGGAGGTAACTTGATCATGCCCTGATTCCCAGTGCTGTCACCCCGAAACAAAATGGATGCTCGGGGAAAAAACAGAGGAAATTGAGGATTTTTGGGAGGAAGGGATGGAGCCACAGAGAGTTTGGAGGGTTTGGAATTCCTTCTGTGCTTCCTGAGGGATCTGTGCCCCTGAAATGTGGGATCTGTGCCTCTGAAATGTGGGATCTGTGCCTCTGAAATGTGGGATCTGTGCCTCTGAAATGTGGGATCTGTGCCTCTGAAATGTGGGATCTGTGCCTCTGAAATGTGGGATCTGCGCCTCTGAAATGTGGGATCTGCGCCCCTGAAATGTGGGATCTGTGCCTCTGAAATGTGGGATCTGTGCCCCTGAAATGTGGGATCTGTGCCCCTGAAATGTGGGATCTGTGCCCCTGAAATGTGGGATCTGTGCCCCTGAAATGTGGGATCTGTGCCTCTGAAATGTGGGATCTGTGCCTCTGAAATGTGGGATCTGGTCCGTGGGAAGGGAAGGGGCTGCCTGGACAAGGGAAGAGGCTGGGATTGATATAAAACTACAAAACCTGATTAAACTGCTCCTGAACACTCAATCTGTGGTGTTTTCAGCCCTTTAAAGCTACAAAAATAGGCTGTTTGATCCAGCATCTCGTTAACCTGTGGGAATTGGCACCGTGAGCTAATCATGCCTAATGGGATTCCCAAAGAAAAGACAGGAAAAAAATTCCCCTGACATCTGTGGGGGCCCAGCTCCTTTCATGGCACGGAATAAACCCGTTTATAGGGCCATAAACGGGGGATCAGGGGCTGCCAGCCTCCCCTGGGGACTGGGGATTCCACAATTGTCCCCCTCCCAGCCTTCCTGCCAGGCTGGGGCTGCCCATTGTGGGGACAGGATGGGCTGGGCGGCCCTTTGATCCAGGACAGTTTCCCAGGCCAAATAAAAGCTCTGCCACTTCAGCTTTTTATTATTCCTTCTTCCTCTCCGTGCCCAACTCCCCTTAGTTTGGGCGTTGGCGCTTTCAGGAGCTGGCAAAGGGGCACTGATAGGTTAAAAATCAGATTTTCTTTCCTGTTAACCTGAAATATGACAAAAGCAAGCAGGAAGGATGGAGCAGGAACTGGTTTTGGGATGCTCAGAGCTGCCATGGCAGGGAATTGTTTGGGAGCACATTCAGGGAAAATGAGTGGGAGGCTGGAAGCTCTGTGGAAGGAGCAGCCTTTATTTACCTGTCCAGGTTGTTCCAAGTGTTGAACATGTGAGGGAAGATGGAATTCTGTGCGGGGGGAGATGTTCTCCCGTGGTGATTCCCCTTGGTTCTGCTGTTCCCAGGCAAACAGCACATCCTGGGGGATGAGGGAGCATGTTTATCCAAGGATTTTAACCCTGAGCTCATAAAACTCATTCAATAGTCCCAACTTCCCCTCTTTCTATTCCAGGAGCTGCAGGTTTTTATTGCTCTGCTAATTCCTGCCGGAGCCCAACCTGGTGGTGGAAAAATCCCTCCTCCAACCTGTGCTTCCAAAGAAAAGCTCAGCAGTCTCTTGTTGTTCGGTCTCAAGGCAGTTTATTGCAAGTTATCTAAAAGATTTTCTTCTGGAGCTGCTGTGGTTTGCTCACAGCTCAGGCAGAGGCACACACACACCCTGACATCCTCTCTGACTCCTTCTCTTCTGCTTCTTCTTCTTCATCTTCTTCTTCATCTTCTTCTTCATCTTCTTCTTCATCTTCTTCTTCATCTTCTTCTTCGTCTTCTTCGTCTTCTTCGTCTTCTTCTTCTTTTCTTCTTCTTTTCTTCTTCTTTTCTTCTTCTTTTCTTCTTCTTTTCTTCTTCTTTTCTTCTTCTTCTTTTCTTCTTCTTCTTTTCCTCTTCTTCTTTTCTTCTTCTTCTTTTCTTCTTCTTCTTTTCTTCTTCTTCTTCTGCTTCTGCTTCTTCTACTTCTGCTTCTGCTTCTCCCCTCTCCCCGCCCAGGGCTGTGCTGTCTTTTATATGGTACATTACATGTTAAATGTTTACAGTTTGTCCCCAATGCCTATTACCTATATTAAATGGTGCTTTTCTATCTTTTATATGGTACATTACGTGTTACATGGGTACAGTTTTTCCCCAATCCTATTACCTATATTAAATGGTGCTTTTCTACTCTAAACCAATCTGTGAGTGCCAGCATCACCAAGAACTTGGAGGTGAGGAAGAAGAAAGAGGAAGGACAGGACCAGCCTAAATTCCTCCATCTAAAACCTCTGACCCCCATGTACAAGACCAAAACCCCCCTGTACAGCACTCAAAAATTCTTCCCTCTACTCTGTAACTACTTCTACTCTAATATCTAAACTTTTGTGACTTCTTGTTCTTCCTGCAAGGTTGTTAAATCGTTCCATGGTTCAAACCCAAAATCACAGCTGTTTCCAGCTGCCTGCCAGGGTCTCAAATGCTTCTGACCTGGACCTGGAACCTCCAAAAATGTCTGAGGGACATTTTGAGTTCCGACAAATTCCCTTCCGACAAAATCCCAAAAGGGTTTTCCGTGGAAAGGCCTGGAGCCAGGCTACAAATCCCCTGAATTTCCTCACAGGAAATGAGGAAATTAGAGCGAGCTGGATCCCCCCAGGCTGCCCGTTCCCTCACCCTCTCCGTGCTCCTTTTTTTCCAGGAACTCCCATCAACAGGATCCCCATCATGGCCAAGCAGATCCTGGATCTCTACATGCTCTACAAGCTGGTGACCGAGAAGGGCGGGCTGGTGGAGATCATCAACAAGAAGATCTGGAGGGAGATCACCAAAGGCCTTAACCTGCCCACCTCCATCACCAGCGCCGCCTTCACCCTGCGCACCCAGTGAGCTCTGCTCCCATGCGGGATATTTGTCCTTCCTGCACATTTCCTGTTATTGGCTGTTTAGCTGTCCTTGGGTGGTTGTTATTAGGTGTTTGTGTTGGTGGTTGTTTATTGTTGGGCGATAGTTATCTGTTGTTAAATAGCTATTGTTGGTCGTTATGGTTAGGAAATTATTAGTAAATATTGTTAATAAAATATGTAATATACCTAGTTTGAATATAGAAAAAATAATATAATATAATGTAATGTAATATAATAATGTAATGTAATGTAGTATAATATAACATTGCATTACATTACATTATAATATATAATATACTATAATTATATTATATATAATATATATAATTATAATATTTGTATTACATTGTGTTATGTTATATTATATTATACTATGTTATAATGTAATATAGTAATGTAATGTAGTATAATGTAATATAATGCAATATAACATTGCATGACATTACATTACAATAGATAATATACTATAATTATATAATATATAATATATATAATTATATTTATTTTACATTGCATTATGTATTATATTACATTACATTATATTATATTACATGATAATATATCATATATGATAATTATAATTCATTATATATAATATATATAATTATAATATTTATATTACATTACCTTACGTTATACTATATTACATTACATTATACTATGTTATACTATGTAATATAATATAATATAATATAATATAATATAATATAATATAATATAATATAATATAATATAATATAATATAATATAATATAATATAATATAATATAATAATATAATAATTAGTGGTATTATCAGTAAGTATTTAGAATAGAGACTCAACAAGGTAAAGTCTCTAAAGGGGGGAAATGATGCCTCTGCATAAGGAGCTTCTGATGGGAATTCTCAGCCTCACCTCCCTCCAGCCATGGCCTTTTTACCTCATTTTTTTAGTTGTGAGGGAATTCTGATTTATTCTTTGAGGATCTTTCAGTTGTGAGGGAATTCTTGATGACCCTTTGAGGATATTTCAGTTATGAGGGAATTCTAGTTGATTTAGAGATGAAATTGCAGTTGTGGGGGAATTCTGATGATTCTAGATTATATTCCAGTTGTTATGGAGTTCAGGATGATTTATAGAGGATATTTAAGTTGTAAAGGAATTCTGTGTGATTTATAGATTATATTTCATTTGCGAGGCAGTTTTGGATGATTTACAGACAATATTTCAGTTATGAGGGAATTCTGGATGATTTATAAAGAAAATTTCAATTGTGAGGTAATTCTGGATGGTTCTTTGAGGACATTTCAGTTATGAGGAAATTTTGGATGGTTCTTTGAGGATATTTCAGTTGTGAAGGAATTCTGGATAGTTTATAAATGATATTTCTGTTTTGAGGGAATTCTTGCTAATTCTTAGATGGGATTTCAGTTGTGAGGGAATTCTGGGTGATTTGTAGATAATATTTCTGTTTTGAGAGAATTCTGGATGATTTATAGAGGATATTTCAGTTGTGGGGGAATTCTGAATGGTTTATAGATTATATTTCAATTCTGAGGAAATTGTGTGCAATTTATAGAGGAAATTTCAGTTGTGACATAATTCTGAGTGATTTATAAATAAGAATTCAGTTGTGAGGGAATTCTAGGTGATTTATGGATAATAGCTCAGTTCTGAGGGAATTCTAGATAATTTATAGATAATAATTCAGTTGTGAGGCAATTCTGGGTGATCCTTTGAGGATATTTTATTTGGGAGGGAATTTTGGTTGATTTATAGACAATATTTCAATTCTGAGGGAATTCTGTGTGATTTATAGGCAATAAGTCAATTGTGAGGGAATTCTGGATAATTTATAGATGATATTTCAGTTGTGAGGGAGTTCTACATGATTTATAGCAGATATTTTAATTCTGAAGGAATTCTGTGCAATTTATAAACAATATTTGAGTTGTGGAGGAATTCTGGATGATTTATTTCATTTGTGAGGGAATAATGGTAATTTATAGAGGATATTTCATTTGTGAGGGGATTCTTGATGATCCTGTGAGGATATTCCAGTTGAGAGGGAACTGTGTGCCATTTATAGCTAATATTTTAATTGTGAGGAAATTGTGGATGATTCTATTGGGATATTTCAGTTCTGAGGGAATTTGGGGTGATCCTCTGAGCATATTTCAGCTGGGAGGGAATTTTGGTTGATTTATAGACAATATTTCAATTCTGAGGGAACTCTGTGCAATTTATAGATAGTAGTTAAATTATGAGGGAATTCTGGGTGATTTACAGACAATATTTCAGTTGTGAGGGAATTCTGGATAATTTATAGATGATATTTCAGTTGTAAGAGAATTCTCCGTGATTTATAGACAATATTTCAGTAGTGATGGAATTCTAAATGATTTATAGATGATATTCCAGTTGTGAGGGAATTCTGAATGATTTATAGATGATATTTCAGTTGTGAGGGAATTTTGGATGATTTATAGTCTATTTCAGTTGTAAGGGAATTCTGAGTGATTTATAGACCATATTTCAGTTGTGAAAGAATTCTGGATGACTTATAGATGATATTTCAGTTGTGAGGGAATTCTGTGTTATTTATAGTCAGTATTTCAGTAGTGATGGAATTCTAAATTATTTCAGTTGTGAGGGAATTCTGGGTGATTTACGGGATATTTCAGTTGGGAAGGAATTTTGGTTGATTTATAGACAATATTTCAATTCTGAGGGAATTCTGTGCGATTTATAGACAATAATTCAGTTGTGAAAGAATTCTGGATGGTTTATAGATGATATTTCAGTTGTGAGGGAATTCTGGGTGATTTGTAGATAATAATTCAATTGTGAGGGATTTCTGGATTATTATAGATAATATTTCAGTTGTTAGTGAATTCTGGGTGATTTACAGACAATATTTCAGTAGTGATGAAATTCTAAATGATTTATAGAGGGTATTTCAGTTGTGAGGGAATTCTGTGTGATTTATAGACAATATTTCAGTAGTGATGGAATTCTAAATGATTTATAGATGATATTTCAGTTGTGAGGGAATTCTGAATGATTTATAGATGATATTTCAGTTGTGAGGAAATTGTGATGATTTATAGTCAGTATTTCAGTTGTAAGGGAATTCTGAGTGATTTATAGACAATATTTCAGTTCTGAGGGAATTTTGAATGATTTATAGATGAAATTCCAGTTGTGAGGGAATTCTGAATGATTTATAGATGATATTTCAGTTGTGGGGGAATTTTGGATTATTTATAGTCAGTATTTCAGTTGTGAGGGAATTCTGGATGATTTATAGGTGATATTTCAGTTGTAAGAGAATTCTCCATGCTTGATAGACAATATTTCAGTAGTGATGGAATTCTAAATGATTTATAGAGGGTATTTCAGTTGTGAGGGAGTTCTGGATGATTTGCAGATGATATTTCAGTTGTGAGGGAATTCTGTGTGATTTATAGTCAGTATTTCAGTTGTGAGAGAATTCTGGATGACTTATAGATGATATTTCACTTGTGAGGGAATTTTGGATAATTTACAGTAGTGATGGAATTCCAGATGATCCTCAGAGGACACTCCTGTTGTGAAGGAGTTCTGGCTGACTCTTCCCAGCCGTGTGAGACCAGGAATATTTCACGTCACGTTTCCCTCCAACCACCTGGCAAACCCAGGCCGGGCTGTGCTCCCAACGCCCCCAGAGCTGCGGAGCCCCTCAGGACAAGCATCCCTGTGCCCGTGCAGCTGCCTGACCCTGTCCGTGTCCCTCTCCCCAGGTACATGAAGTACCTCTACGCCTACGAGTGCGAGAAGAAGTCCCTGAGCTCCCCGGCCGAGCTGCAGGCCGCCATCGACGGCAACCGGCGCGAGGGCCGGCGGCCCAGCTACAGCTCCTCCCTGTTCAGCTACTCGCCCTCCGCGCCGGCGCCTCCTTCCCTGCTGTCCCCCCCCAAAATCCGCTTCCCCATCATCGCCGCCGGCAGCCCCCGCGCCTCGCCCGCCCTCAGGAAAGGTCAGCGCGGTGGTGGGAAGGCGGGTGCCGCCAACGGTGGCGGTGCTGTTGGCAATGTCACCCGGCTCAGCCGCCTCTCCTCGCCCAGGTGACGGCGTGGTGCCCCTCAGCGTGGCCGTGCCCAGCCGCCTGGCCGTGCCCGTGGCGCTGGGCGGGCAGCAGGCCAGGACGGCCACGCTGGAGCAGCTGAGGGAGAGGCTGGAGGCGGGAGAGCCGCCCGAGAAGAAGGTGCCGCGCATTTCGGAGGAGGAGCAGCGGCTGGTGCAGCAGGCCCTGCAGCGCAACCTGTTCAGCATGGCCCGGCAGATCCCCATGAAGATCAAAATCAACGGGAAAGGTGAGGCACAGCGGGATGAACTCCTCGGGAAGCAGCACAGGGGGAAAGCTGCCAGCCTGGAATGTCACACACACACACGGCTGGGGCACCTCTGGGGGTACCAGGCAGAGGGCACGGTGTCGGAATCTGTGCTATTGATGATCCCAAAATTGTAGAAAGTCTCTGTCTTTCAGCCCCGTTGCCAAAGCAGAAGCCATAATTGGTCTGTGCTGGTTTCAAGGTTGTTTATTCTGTTTATCTCTAACATGTTCTGCTGCCCTGCCGCAGCTCTGTCCTGCAGGGCAGCGTGTGGGGCTCTGCCCTCAGTGGGATGGTACAAACATTAAATACCACAAACTACCTGTGCTGGATTTACAATAACGTGCCAATATCTGTCACCTACGTTGGACAGTGTGTCCCCAGCCTGAACCAACAGAAAAATGCCAACACCACAGTGAAACATGGAGGGCATGAAGAAGGAGAAAAAGGACAAGGCACACCCAATTTCCTCCATCTTGTCCCCTTTGGGCCCCTAATCTAGAATCCTAAAATTTTACTTTTGCACCCATGCCACACTTAATTATTACTCATATCAAACACTCAGAGCTTGTAATTCACCCTGTAAGATTGAAAACTCTTTTCCATGGACAGAGATCACAGCCAGTGTCTCTGGGGGCTCTGTCCAGGGGGGTTCCTGACACCCTGCCAGGGTTTTAGGCCTTCTAAGGCAGCCAGAGGGAATCTCTGGATTCCCACAGCATGGCACAGAGATATTCAGGTGCAAGGTTTTGTTGGGTTTTCCTGCTGGTTTGTTCTCCAGCTTGTCCAAATCCAGCCCAGATTGAGGAGAAAAGGAGACTCAGGGGTGCCCTTATCTACAGCTCCCTGAAGGGTGGCTGTGCTCAGGTGGGGTTGGGCTCTGTCTCCAGGAACTGACAGAACCAGAGGACACAGTCTCGAGCTGCACCAAGGGAAATACAGGCTGGATATTAGGGAAAAGTTATTTACAGAAAGGGTGATAAAGTTCTGGAATGGAGTCCCCATCCCTGGATCCCTGATAAAGTTCTGGAATGGCTGCCCGGGGAGGTGGTGGATCCCCATCCCTGGGTGTGTTTAACAAAGCCTGGATGCAGCTCTGGGTGCCCGGGTTCAGTTGAGGGGTTGGGCCTGGGTTGGACTCGATGATCTCCAAGGTCTCTTCCAATGTGGTCACTCTGTGAATTGTGTGAAATTCTGTGGATTCTGTGACTTTTTCCACGTTCCCAAAGCTCCGAGTTTGTCAGTGCTGCTTTGAGGTAGGAAAGGTCAAAGCAGATTCCTCTGAAGCAGCAGTTCTTCTTTTTAGAACTTGTTACTTTTTTAGATTGTATTACTTTTAAAAAATGTTCTTGTTTCTGGGCTTCTCCCTTAGCCTGTATTTAAACAATTCATCCTGAATCTTAGCAATGATTTCTGTCATGTCAGTGCTCCCAGTTCCTGCCAGCTCTGCATCCAACCAAATTCCACTTCAAAACCACAAGAGCCAGTAATAGGGAGTACAAATTTTATCCAGGAGTGTTTGTTCCCTGTCACCTCATTTCTGCTTTCCCCCTGAACTTCCTAAACCCAAATTCTGGGAACCATTGCAGTCCCTACAAACAGGCACATCCTGAGGATTCAGGGATGGGTTCCCACCTTTGTAGGGGCTGTCTTGGCTTCCGTGCCCTCCTTTTCCCCAGGGCACCATAAAAGCCAGGTGGAGCTTTGGGAGCTGCTCTGAGGGGTGGTTTTGATCAGCTCAGCATGGCTTGGTAACATCATTTAGGTTCAGTGTGGAGTTTTTAGGGAGGAGCAATCCCAAAATCCAGGCCCACCCTCGTGGAGCTTTGGGAGCTGCTGGAAGAGTCCCACGTTCAGCTCCCCTCAAGCACAGCTGCCCATCCCTGCCCAGGCTGGGGAAAATCCTGATTTTCCTGGAGTGTTCCTGGCTTTTCCCTCCCTCCAGTGGCCGCTGGAGCTGCTGCAGTCCAAGCACAACAAAATTCAGCTGGGAGTTAAATCCGGGCTTGTCTCGTGTGCTCCCAGCCCTTCCTTGGGACAGGAATGGGAATTTTGGGAACATTTCCCAATGCCAGCAGGCTCCCAGCCTCACCAAGGCCTTTCAGCACCTCCGTAGCCTTGTCCTGGAATGGTTTGAGTTGGGAGGGACCTCCAGGCCAGGGCAGGGACATTGTGTGTCCCAGGTGCTCCAAGCCCTGGGAGCCTGGCCTCGGGCACAGCGTTCTGTGGGGACCAAGAAGGGCTGTGCTCACCTCTGGGGAGTGCCAGGGGTGGGATTGCTGCCCTCTAACTCTGCCTCCCTCTCTCCCTCCCTCCCTGGGACAAGACAAGGCCGACTCGGCGGCGGCGGCGCTGAACCTGTCCCCCAACGGCATCGGCAGCATCAACATGTCCGTGGAGATCAACGGCACCACCTACGCTGGTGAGAGCCCTGCTGGGATGGGACAGCCCGGGGACAGCCCTGCTGGGTGTGGGACAGCCCTGCTGGGTGTGGGGACAGCCCTCCTGGGAATGGGGATAGACCTCCTGGGAATGGGGATAGACCTTCTGGGAATGGGGACAGCCCTGCTGGGTGTGGGACAGCCTGGGGACAGCCCTGCTGGGTGTGGGGACAGCCCTGCTGGGTGTGGGACAGCCCTGCTGGGTGTGGGACAGCCCTGCTGGGTGTGGGACAGCCCTGCTGGGTGTGGGGACAGCCCTGCTGGGTGTGGGGACAGCCCTGCTGGGATGGGACAGCCTGGGGACAGCCCTGCTGGGTGTGGGGACAGCCCTGCTGGGTGTGGGACAGCCCTGCTGGGTGTGGGACAGCCTGGGGACAGCCCTGCTGGGAATGGGGACAGCCCTCCTGGGAATGGGGATAGACCTTCTGGGAATGGGGATAGACCTTCTGGGAATGGGACAGCCCTGCTGGGAATGGGGATAGACCTCCTGGCAGTGGGGATAGACCTCCTGGGAATGGGGATAGACCTCCTGGCAATGGGGATAGACCTCCTGGGAATGGGACAGCCCTCCTGGGAATGGGGACAGCCCTGCTGGGAATGGGGATAGACCTCCTGGGAATGGGACAGCCCTCCTGGGAATGGGGATAGACCTTCTGGGAATGGGGATAGACCTCCTGGGAATGGGACAGCCCTTCTGGGAATGGGACAGCCCTGCTGGGTGTGGGACAGCCCTCCTGGGAATGGGACAGCCCTTCTGGGAATGGGACAGCCCTGCTGGGTGTGGGACAGCCCTCCTGGGAATGGGACAGCCCTCCTGGGAATGGGGATAGACCTCCTGGGAGTGGGGACAGCCCTCCTGGGAATGGGGTAGACCTCCTGGGAATGGGACAGCCCTCCTGGGAATGGGGATAGACCTCCTGGGCATGGGGATAGACCTCCTGGGAATGGGGATAGACCTCCTGGGAATGGGGATAGACCTCCTGGGAATGGGACAGCCCTCCTGGGAATGGGGATAGACCTTCTGGGTGTGGGACAGCCCTCCTGGGAATGGGAGATCCCAGGGACAGCCCTCCTGGGAATGTTTGATCCCTCCGGGGGGCGGGGATGGGAGGGATGGGGGTGGTCCTTGCCAAATGGCAGCGGGAGGCAATTCTTATTCACTGGGCTGGGCAGGAGGAGCGCCTTTCCCTTGCTGTGTTAGTGCCTTAAAATCTGAGGGAAGGGCTTTGAAGTCCCCGTGGAAGCATTCATAGGAAGGAGAACTGTCCCTGTTCAGCCCAGGAGGGGCTTTGCTGGGCTCTCCCAGCAGGAATTGTCCCCTGGAGCAGTTCCCTTGGGCAAACCCCAAGTGGGGAAGCCTGGCACTGCCTGACCCTCACCCCCGGTGGCAGAACCCCTTTGGGACAGCAGCCCTGTGACAGCCCCCAGCTCCAGCCACCCACTCCGAGCTGGGATGGGACCGTGGGGCTGGCAGAGCCTGTGCTGTGCCCAGCCTCACCCTCTGCATGCCCACAGGGGTGCTGTTTGCCCAGAAGCCCGTGGTGCAGCTCCTGGCCGGCTCGGGCCCGCAGAGCTCGTGCAGCAGCAGCAGCAGCAGCAGCAGCAGCAGCAGCAGCAGCAGCTCCCACTGCTCCCCCAGCCCCACCTCGTCGCGGGGCACGCCCGGCGCTGAGCCCTCCACCAGCTGGTCCCTCTGACAGCCCTGCCCGGGGCTGCACACATACCTCACCTCACAGAACCTGCTCTCGTGGCTGCACAGCACCTGCAGGATGATGATGATGATGATGATGATGATGATGGTGGTGGTGGTGAAACCTTGCCATGCCAGCGAGTTTTCCTTCATCGTCTCTTTGTCCGGCCTTGTTTTGGCTTTGTTGCCACCCTGCTTTCCTTCCTCCCTTTTCCTCTTTGTTTCCTCCTCCTCCTCCTCCTCCTCCTCGCAGGGTGTGGGGTGTTCCCATGGAGGGGGGGCACACCTGGCGTTTCTCAATCAGGGATGGTTCTGGGGCCACAGCTCCTGGGATGTCACCAGGGCAGGGAAAGGGCCAGGACTGGGGCTGGGAGCCCTGGTTCTGCTGGAACCCTGCAGGAATCCTGGTTCTCCTGGAGCCCTGCAGGAATCCTGGTTCTGCTGGAACTTTGGTTCTGCTGGAGCCCTGGTTCTGCTGGAGCCCTGGTTCTGCTGGAACCCTGCAGGAATCCTGGTTCTGCTGGAAGCCCTGTGGGAACCCTGGTTCTCCTGGAACCCTGGTTCTGCTGGAGCCCTGGTTCTGCTGGAGCCCTGGTTCTGCTGGGAACCCTGCAGGACTCCTGGGTCTCCTGGAACCCTGGTTCTGCTGGAACCCTGTGTGAGCCCTGGTTCTCTTGGAGCCCTGGTTCTGCTGGGAACCCTGCAGGAATCCTGGTTCTGCTGGGAACCCTGGTTCTCCTGGAACCTTGGTTCTGCTGGAACTCTGGTTCTGCTGGAACTTTGGTTCTCCTGGAGCCCTGGTTCTGCTGGAACTTTGGTTCTCCTGGAGCCCTGGTTCTGCTGGAACCCTGGTGTTCCTGGAACCCTGGTGTTCCTGGAGCCCTGGTGCTCCTGGAGCCCTGGTTCTGCTGGAACCTTGGTTCTGCTGGAACCCTGCTGGGAACCCTGGTTCTGCTGGAGCCCTGGTTCTGCTGGAATTTTGGTTTTCCTGGAACCCTGGTTCTGCTGGAGCCCTGGTGCTCCTGGAGCCCTGGTCCTGCTGGAACCCTGATCCTGCTGGAACCAGGGGCCAGCAGGGCTCTTCCCACCCACAACTCCGTGTTTTGACAATCCTGAGAGCCGGGGGGTGCCTGGCCCTGTCCTCCCATGGCAATCTGCTCATGTCCCTTCCTGCCGTGTCCCCTTGTCCTCAGGGGAGGCTCCTGAGCCTCCTTCCTGCTCCTCTCCACACTTCTGGCACCATCATCTGCTTGGTTCTGGCTGGTGCCACCTCCCCCCTCGAGTCCTGAGTGTCCCTGAGTGTCCCTGAGTGGTGACACGGCCAGCCTGGGCGTGCTGGGGCTCCGTGCCCCGCTCTGTGCCCACAGCAGGTCCCTGGGGTGGGTGCAGGGCTCAGGGCTGCAGGTGGAACCCAGGCTGGTTCCTGTGGGGCTCTGCACAAACCCCTGTGATTGTACCCGAGCAGGGCCCAGGGAATGCAGCCCCCGGGAGCAGAGCTGGAATTCCCTCTGACTCAGCTGCTCAGGGCTCTGGTGCTGTCCCCTGTCCCCTGTCCCCTCCCCATCCCCTGCCCTGGTGACATCCCTGCGTCCTTCCCGTGCTGCAGGCCCGAGTCAGGTTTTTTGAGCAGACGAAATACCTCAGATATGTATTGTTGGGTTGTTTTGTTCGTGTTGGGTTGGTTTCTTTTAACCTCTTCAGGAAGTATTGGCATATCCTTATGGCTTGGGGGTTTTCATAGGTGGGTTTTGCTGACTTTGTGTTTGTTTTAATTTCTCTTGGCTTTTCAATGGATCACCAAAGACAGGGAGTTCAGACGAGGCTGAGCAGAGGAGCAGCGGCTTCCCCACCCTGCAGGAGCCACTGCAGCATCACCCCGGGGCACTGGACAGCGGGAAAGGGGCAGGGCTGAGCCTGGCCCTGGGGCTGGGCACTCTCCTGGCTCTGCCACCACCCTGCCACCACCCTGGCAGTGCCCCGGGCTCTCTGGAGCTGCCCATCCTGGCAGGGATGCTGCTCCCGGCTGTCCCCAGCTGCTCCGTGGCATTTCATCCTCACACGCTCCCAGAGGGTTTTCCACCACCCTCTGGCACTCAATCAGATTATTTTCCCCCCCCCCTTTTTTTTTATTTTTTGTGTTTTCTTTTGGTTGTTTTATTTTATTCTTGGGTGGGGTTGGGGCTGTTTCCTCTGAGTGGGACTCTGGGGCACTTTCTGCTTTTCCCTCTGCTCTGCTCCTCGGCCCCGGGGAGCAGAGGCTGCTCCGGGGTGGGGCTGCTTTGTCTCACTTGCTAACGTTGTGTTTTCTTGCACAGAAAGGCACTCGAATCACTGAAACTGCTTGGACACTACTAGAGTATTAATGTTGATAAGCTTTACTCAATCTAGACTGGAACTAGCCAGGGACTAACAGATTGTTTTGTATCCAATTCAGGGAAAGAATCAGGTCGGGAAGCGTAACAGATACCTCAGTTAAATAAGCTGCACCAATAAACGGGTCCTTTTCCCAGCCCGGGGTGACAAGGACCATCCAGACTGTGAAGAGTTAACCCTTTCCCTCAGCCTGGCTTTGGCCCTGGCAGCCTGAGCTGCGGGTCTCCTGCTGAGCTGCCAGGCTTTGGGAGGGGGTGCTGGAAACCAGCAGCGAGCGGGGGAGGCCGAGCGGGGGCCGCCCCAGCCCCGTGTAGTACTCAGGGTTTGATGCTGCCAGCAGGAGGTTCCCAGGGCAGTGCTCCATCCTCCCCCAGCTCCACACACCAGCCAAAAAAACCCCGGCCAGCCCCCAGCTTGCTCCCCCGGCGCTTCCAGGGGGGAAAAGCGAGCCCAGCCTGCTCCCGGGGCTGCGGGGAGGCACCGGGGCAGGCTGCGTGTGCCTGCTCCTTCCCAGGGGACTGCGACCAGATGTTCTCTCCAAACAGCTGCAGCAGCCTTGCTAACTAGTTTTCTTACCTATTTAAAAGAGAAAAAAAATAATAAAATAAGTAAATAAAAACAAATGTGATAGCCTAGGCGGTGGATAAATACCTCAACGTCTCCTTCCAACAAGTGTCTGTATATGTTGTTGTTGGGTTTTTTCTATCTTACAGGTTATCTGAATGTTTATATTCCAATAAACTTCTACCTCTTCACACCGTGACCCCCACGCCTGCTTTGTACCCCGGGCTGGCTCCCTGAGGGTAAAGAATTCCCAAATATTCCTGAGGGTGGGTCTGTGTCCTTGCAGGGACCTGAGGATAAAGAATTCCCAGATATTCCCAAGGCTGGGCTGTGTCCTTGCAGGGGCAGGTAAAGAATTCCCAGATATTCCCGAGGCTGAGCTGTGTCCTTGCAGGGATCCGAGGGTAAAGAATTCCCAGAAATTCCCGAGGCTGAGCTGTGTCCTTGCAAAGACCTGAGGGTAAAGAATTCCCAGATATTCCTGAGGCTGAGCTGTGTCCTTGCAGGGGCAGGTGAAGAATTCCCAGAAATTCCCGAGGCTGGGCTGTGTCCTTGCAGGGACCTGAGGATAAAGAATTCCCAGATATTCCCGAGGCTGGGCTGTGTCCTTGTAGGGACCTGAGGGTAAAGAATTCCCAGATATTCCCGAGGCTGGGCTGTGTCCTTGCAGGGGCAGGTAAAGAATTCCCAGATATTCCCGAGGCTGGGCTGTGTCCTTGCAGGGACCTGAGGATAAAGAATTCCCAGAAATTCCCCGAGGCTGGGCTGTGTCCTTGCAGGGACCTGAGGATAAAGAATTCCCAGAAAATCCCGAGGCTGAGCTGTGTCCTTGCAGGGGCCCTGAGCTCCCAGCTTGGAGCTGGCCCGATGGAACGAAGGCGCTTCCAGGAACTGACCACAGTTTCTCATGATTATTCTTTCTGATTAAACAGTAATTATATTTAATTACTGAACAATCATCACATCTAACAATTATATCATTTATCATGTACCGGCTACATAGTGAAGTTCTAGCAAGTACAAGTTCTTCATGTGCTTAGGGTGTTTAATTTTCCAGCGCCTACTAAGCTTATTTTTCCATTTAACCCTAAATCCCCATGATTTTAAAACCCTTTTGCTATCACCCCGTGCCCGCATTTGCCGTGCCCGTGTGTCGGGGTGGGCACGGAGCCCTCGACCTTCCTCATCCTCACCGAGTGGAGCCAGAACCGCTGCCCGGGCTCCGCTCCCAGCCCGTCCCTCCCCTCCCGTCCTGCCCACCGCTCCCGCTCCGCCTCTCCCGCCCCGCTTTTTTTTTATTTTTGGAACTAAGTTCCAAAGGAGATTCAGCTCTCGTGTCCAGGAGTTGCTTCCCTGCTCCCTAAATGCCCACTGTGAGCCCAAAACCCCGCGGGATCCCTGCAGGGTGGGACAAACCCAGCTGGTCACCACTCAGGGAGGAGGTTCCCCTCTTTGGGACTGGCCTTATCTCAGCCCTCAGGGGCCGCTGCCCTTCGGATCCAGCCCGGACACCCCAAATCCCCCCTGGTACGTGCCCCCACTCCCCGTCACACCCCGTGAGCCCCCACCAAGCCGGGCTGATCGCGTTCGAGCTTTCCGGGGCCCTTCTCACGGCTTTGTTTGAGCCCCGGACCCGTGCCAGGCTGCCCGAGCCCTCCTGTCCCTCCTGTCCCTCCTGTCCCGCCTTTGGGCTGCTCCAGCTCAATCCCGGCTCACAGAGAGCGGGGAGGAGCCCGGGGAAGGGACACCCGGCCGGTCCCAGCTGCCGCACACCCGGGAGAGCCGCGCTGGCACAGCCCCGCCGGGACCCGCCCGCTGACGCTGCCCGTTCTCTCTGTCCCCAGCGCACCCGCGGGTGTCCCTGGGCGCGGGGCTGTCCCTCCTCTGCCTCGGCGTCCTCCAGGGCTGTGCCATGTGCTGGTGGCACCGCCGGGGCCCGGGGTGCCCCCTGGGCCGGCAGCGAGCGGAGCTGGGGCGGCTCTGCCCGCGGCCACGGTGCCCATCCAGCAGCGCGGCGAGGAGCGGACGGGGAAGGAGATTTCCCCGGTATCACCGGCACCCCACAGGGGTTCACCCCACGGCACAGCATCCCTGCCCGCCCTCCCCTTCCTCCCGCAGCCGGCGGGGCTGTGGCAGCGGCCCCGAACTGCTCTGCACCGAGCGGAGCCGCCGGTCCCCGCCGCCCCGGGCTCCGGGCAGCGTCCCCGGCTCCGCTGCCACCTCTGCTACTCCCTGCCCGAGGCCACCCTCGCTGTCACCATCCTCGGCGTGTCACATCTGCCCCGGGGCCAGCAGGGCTCCCTCGTCGAGGTGTCCCTGGTGTGGCTGTCCCGCCGCGTGTCCGTGCGACGCGGGAGCCGCCGGGAGCCGCCGGGAGCCGGTGCCGGTGCCGGTGCCGGTGCCGGTGCCGGTGCCGGTGCCGGTTCGGTCCGTGAGACCCGGAGGAGCTGGGCAGCTGCACCCTGCGCTTTGCTGGGCACCAAAGCCACCTGCCTCGTTCTTGCCAGCCCGGACCTTGCTGGGAGAGGAACATCGCTGGGCTGGAAGGGATGGGGGTGGAAGGGCTGGGGGAGGTTGGAGGTTGAAAGACATGGTGAGGTCAGAGGTGGAAGGACACGGTGAGGTCAGAGCGGGAAGGGTTGGGTGAGGTTGGAGCTGGAAGGACACAATGAGGTTGGAGCTGGAAGGGCTGGATGAGGTCGGAACTGGAAGGATGCAAGGAGGTTGGAGCTGGAAGGACACGATGAGGTTGGAGCTGGAAGGACATGGTGAGGTCAGAGGTGGAAGGACACGATGAGGTTGGAGCTGGAAGGACACGATGAGGTTGGAGCTGGAAGGACACGATGAGGTTGGAGCTGGAAGGGCTGGGTGAGGTTGGAGCTGGAAGGACACGATGAGGTTGGAGCTGGAAGGGCTGGGTGAGGTTGGAGCTGGAAGGACACGATGAGGTTGGAGCTGGAAGGGTTGGGTGAGTTTGGAGCTGGAAGGACATGATGAGGTTGGAGCTGGAAGGGCTGGATGAGGTTGGAGCTGGAAGGGCTGGATGAGGTTGGAGCTGGAAGGACACGATGAGGTTGGAGTTGGAAGGACACGATGAGGTTGGAGGAGGTCTCACAGTGTCCCCGTTCCTTCCAACCCAAACCACTCCGTGATTCTACCCCTGGATGAAAATGAGCACTGGGAGCATTACAGAGATCTAGGGATGTCCAATATGGCCCCAAAGTCCTTGAAATATATTTATTTATGGTCCAAAATTAGCATGTGGCTTTCTGTCCTGCTGGCTGGTGTCACCTCTGTCTCTCCCTGCTCTCTGGGATGTCAGCTGAGGACTTTGGAGGTCCCTAATCTCCAGAAGGGAGGGGCAGGTGAAGCCTCAGGAGCTCTGTGCTCTCCCCACAGCTCAGGGGGTGGCCTGGCTCAGGAGGTGACCAGGCTGAGGAGGTGACCAGGCTGAGGAGGTGACAAGGCTCAGGGGGTGGCCAGGCTCAGGAGGTGACCAGACTGAGGAGGTGACCAGGCTCAGGAGGTGACAAGGCTCAGGGGGTGACCAGGCTCAGGGGGTGACCAGGCTGAGGAGGTGACCAGGCTGAGGAGGTGACCAGGCTGAGGTGACCAGGCTGAGGAGGTGACCAGGCTGAGGAGGTGACCAGGCTCAGGAGGTGACCAGGCTCAGGGGGTGACCAGGCTCAGGGGGTGACCAGGCTCAGGAGGTGACCTGGCTCAGGGGGTGACCAGGCTGAAGAGGTGACCAGGCTGAGGAGGTGACAAGGCTCAGGAGGTGACAAGGCTCAGGAGGTGACCAGGCTGAAGAGGTGACCAGGCTCAGGGGGTGACCAGGTTCAGGAGGTGACCTGGCTCACCGTGCTCTGCTCCCGGCAGGCTCAGCCCCCGCAGGAGCCGATCCCCACCACCCTGGGGAAGTTTCTGGGGTGGGACAGCTCCTCTCAGGGGAAGGGAAAGCCACCAGCCGTGTCCCCTGCCCTGTGCTGCCCCAGACTCGGGGGGAGAAGAGGAGCTTTGTCTGCTCCATCCACTCTCTGCACCCGGAATCTTGGCTGTGGAGGAGCCAGGTGGGACAAGAACCCAGCTGGTGTCCCTGTGGCCACCACGGTGGTGGCATCTCTTGTCTGCACCCAGCTGGTGTCCCTGTGGCCACCACGGTGGTGGCATCTCCTGCCCCTTCCAGCCCACCTGGTGATAAAGGAGTCCATTGGCATTTTTAATTGATTGCTGGCCCTAATGAGTGCTTGATAAATAAATAAAGGGGTTGGGAATGACCACGTGTGTGGAGCTCTCTCTCCTGTCCATTGGCCACCACAGAGAAGACCACGGGAGGGTCACCACAGGGAGGAAGGCCGTGGCCAGGGTTGTCACTGTGGGGGTCATCACGGTGAGGATGACCATGGCCAGGAAGGCCCTGTGGTGAGGAAGGCCTGCAGCGAGATAAGGCACGATGAGGAAGACCACAGTGAGGCAGATGAAGAAGGGAAGAAGACCATGCTGAGGGAGAGGCTGGCCATGGTGAAGAAGGTGAGGAAGGTCATGGTGAGGCAGACTGTGAGGAGGAAGACCCTGGCGAGGAAGGCTGTGTGGAAGGTGAGGATGGCCATGGAGAGGAAGGCTGTGGTGGGGATGGCCCTGACCACCACGGTGAGTCAGAGCACGGGGAGGAAGGCGCGGTGCTGAGGGTGAGGATGGCCATGGTGAGGATGATCAAGGTGAGGAGTCCCATGGGGAGGAAGCTGTGCCAAGGGTGAGGACAGTGGTGGTGATGGATGGCCATGGTGAGGATGATCAAGGTGAGGAGTCCCATGGGGAGGAAGCTGTGCTGAGGGTGAGGATAGTGGTGGTGATGGATGGATGGATGGCCATGCTGAGGCTGGCCATGGTGAGGAAGCTGTGCTGAAATGATGATGGCCATGGTAAGGACAGCCATGGTGAGGATGACCATGGTGAGGATGACCATGGTGAGGATGACCACGGTGAGAAGTCCCACGGGAGGAAGGTGTGCCGAAGGTGAGGATGATGGTGGTGATGGATGGCCATGGTAAGGACAGCCATGCTGAGGAAGCCATGCTGAGGTGAGGATGGCCGTGGTGAGGAAGCCATGCTGAGGTGAGGATGGCCATACTGAGGTGAGGATGGCCATGCTGAGGGGAGGAAGCCATGCTGAGGTGAGGAATCCATGCTG